TCACAGCCCAATGTGTTTGCCAGATGGGTCATCTTCTCCTCATTGACATTGATGGAGTACATATGTGATTTACTGTAGTTAACTTTAAGCCCGGTTGACTCCGAAAAGCTGTGCAACAAAGCCTTAAGAAAGATCAGCTGGCTAGCATCGGCTTGCAACGTCATCAGAAGGATCGCCTTGACGGACCCCTCTCTTGCACTTGAAAAAATTTCCTGAGACGCCATTGAGTAGGACAGCAGATGAACCTGAAGAAAAAATGGCTTGAACCCAATCCAACCATCTCTGTGGGAACCCCATGTGAGCCATAACTTGCACAATAGCTGAATGTTCCAATGTATCAAACGCTTTCTCGAAATCTAATTTTAGGATGATGATCTCTCTTTTCGACTGATGGCACTGGTGAATGTACTCATAACTCCATGCTAAGCAGTCTTGAATCGTGCGAGAGCGAATGAAACCATATTGATTTTGATGAACAACTCTCAAGATGACAGCCTGCAATCTGTCAGCTAGAATCTTGGTGATGACCTTGAGCGAGATGTTCATTAGGGAGATGGGGCGAAAATCATTTACTGTCTCTGGACTGTCCTTTTTAGGAACCAGGGTGATATAAGAAGTGTTGATGCATCCAAGATTAATCTGACCCGAGAAGAACTTTGAGCAAAGGGAGTAAAAATCACCTTTGATAAATTGCCAACACTTTTTTAGGAAACGGCAGTTAAAACCATCCAGGCCTGGAGCCTTGTCAGCCGGCATACGCTTCACCACCAAATCCACCTCCTCGTGCAGAATTGGGGCAGCAAGAGAATCTAGGTCGTTCACTGGCGTGACAAGGCTAGAGAGGTAAAAAAGCATAGTAGGTGATGACGTGGTACCCATGCGATTTCTGAAGGAGTTCCAGAGAAGGCCTGCCTTCCCTTCATGGTCGTGGATCCAAATGCCTTGGTCATTCATGATCTGCGCAATGGAATTTCTTCTATAAGAAATAGTAGCCATGCCATGGAAGAATTTTGTACACTCATCGCCCAACTTTATTCTATTGACTGTGTAACGATTCCTCCAGTAGAGATTCTTGTATCGCAACCAAATTTGAAGTTGTTTCTTGACAACAGCCCTGCATTAAAAAGGCCTCTTATATCCTCTAAAGCATCTAGAAAACCAATGACTTGGTTGCAGTTTCTAATGAGCATTCTTAGATTTGATAAATGCTTGCTCCAGTCCTTCAGTCTGGCTCTTAGGGCCTTGAATTTGGAAGAGATGGTACGAGCAGCATCACTGTTAGCTGGCGTAGAGGTCCACGAGTCATATACTGTGTCTAGGAAATCATCTTGCTCTGCCCAGAAATTCTCAAAACGGAATAGATTAGCTCTAGGAATTTTTGTGCTAATCACCACCTTGCATGGAATATGATCCGAAGTGATCTTTGCTAAAGGGAGGACCTCTGTGTTGGGGAAGTCGATGGTCCAGTTGGTGGACGTGAAGAACCAATCAAGTTGCTCAAGCAACGGATCGGATTGCATATTGCTCCAAGTGAATGCCCGACCCTTCAAAGGCAGCTCAACTAAACCAAGATGCCCAATCGCATCATTGAAAATAAAAGTGTCAGCAAGATTGCCACCGGGTCTATTTCGGTTATTCAGAGAGCGGTAGAAATTAAAATCTCCCAGGAAGATCCAATTCTCTAAGTCAGATATAGCATGACTACGAAACCAGCTGACAAACTCTGAGCAGGCAGGATCATTACATGGTCCATAGACTGTGGTTAGTTTCCAGGTCTCGCCTGGTGTGTGTCGCAGTGAAGCTAACCGTGAGACCAAAGCTCTGTTTATCAGTGACTATGCCTGAAAAAACTGCACTGTTCCAGAGAACAAGGATACCCCCAGATGCTCCTACCGAGGGTACATAATCAAAATGGTCAAAACGCCGTGGTGCAAATTTTCTGATAAAGGATATATCAAAGGTTTCTTTCTTCGTTTCTTGCAAACATATTACTGAGCTAGCACTCTCTTCGATTTTATCACGTACCGCATCCCATTTCTCTGTGGCATTGATCCCACAAACATTCCAGCACAAAATAGTCCAGTTACGTGTACCCATTATGTAACAATAAAGGGGAGACAGTAGTTCCTGATATGACTAGCATAATCAGGATGGGCTGCATTTCAGATGGTATATTGATCGAGAGGATGAAGATCAACAGAGAAGTAGAAGCCAGATAAGTGAAAATGGTAAGATTGATAGTAGTGTCCAAAGAGGGAAAGATAGTAACATTAAAGCAAAGGACACACTTAAAATCTGGCCACACGACTGTAACAAGATAAAATGAGCAAACTGCCGCCCCAGGCGTTCTACAAAAGTTTACGACAATAGCACTTGGCGATGACTTAATCAGAGGATTCATCATTGGCCACCGGATTGGAAGAGGGCGCCTGCATCAGCGCTTCTTGGGATAACTCTCCAGGAGCTACTCCACAATTGATACCCCAGCCCTGCAGAATATCAAATGGTATTGGTCCAGTTTGACCCGTAGGCTCGACAAGCAGTACTGGACATGTCTTTGTCTTCTTGCATGGATTTCCAGCCAACCTGACCTCATGGAAGCCATCCTTGTCACTAAGTCTTGTGCTGCGTCTCACAGTACTGTCCACCAGCGGAGTAGCAGGATTACTAGAGACATCGGGTAGAGACATGTTATTGTTCATCCTTGTGCTGCGACTAACAGAGCCTTCCACCACTGGCGAGATTGTGTTACTCGAGGCCACAGGCAGGGAGAGCATGGCAATCCTCCAACGTTGGTATACTCTCATGCCTGCTTCACCACATGGACTGGGCTGCATTTGCTCACGTTGAAATTCAAAACCTGACGAGCCAGAAGTAGCTGGGCCCTGCTCGACACGAGGATCAGGCAGGATGATAACAGAGGACCTTGGCTGAGCACATGCTGCCCGACGACTCGCCACAACAGATGGCCATAGCTGGAGAGCTAGAGCAGGAAGGACCGGCTTCCAGGGGACAATCTCCCTGCCTGTGATAGCGGGCGTTGGCGAGGACAGGTTGAGGGATGGTTGCAGAACAGCTCTGTCAATCACAATGGGTCCCATGTTGTCATTGGCCTGAGAAGATGAGGCCCTGTGGAATACTTCATCAGGCATGTCATTGGCCATAGAGGATCCTGACAGCTCAAGATCAAGGTGATCCTGAGGAAACTGAGGATGCTGATGGAGCACCTGACCATTGTCAGCAGCAAACACGGCAGGGTTCCATGCTGGCCACTCATCATCAGCTTCATCTACTTCCATGTTGTCCACATCTAGCTGCTGATTCTGCTGCAGACCTGGGTGTTGCTGCACCGGGCCCTGCTGGGCATGCTGAACTGGTTGGTTAGGCGAAGGGTTTGGGGGATCCGCGCGAGAATCGAGGTTCAGCTCAATTTCCTTGCCTTTTGGGATTTTCAGTTTCCAAACCAGGTGGGGAGCGGTATTCGTAACAAAATTTTTGGTGCAGTCAAACTTTCGTTGCTAGACCCAATTGGTCGGGTACGTGACCGGCAATGCTTTCTAGTATGTCCCCAATTAGAGCATTTCAAGCATCGGATACGAGAGGGACAATTGGAGCTAATATGGCCCAAACTTGAGCAACGGGAGCAGAAAGGCCCAGAGACAGCAGATTTGGAATTTGACAAGAGGGCCATAGTCCCACGCTGATTGAGGGAATCTTCCGAAACAGCCGCGGAAATCTCTCCAGGCCGCTGCATGCAAGGAGGACGTTGCGTGTAATCCTCTCCAGGCTGCTGCATGCAATCAGGCCGAAGAACACGATTATGGGCTCCGCCAATTTGAATTTTGGTATTCCCAAACAGAAGATTTGTGGATTCTTTGATAGGAGCAGAGAAAGCACCAAAACAAATTGACGATTGTGGAGAGTGCTTAGGAGGACAATGATCAACCAAATTCTTAGCAAAACTAACTCTTTTTTGAGGTTTCGAGGCCTTTATAGCTTCCCTTTTGGATCTCTTAGAGAGTACTTTTGTCCATTGTTTCTCCTGCTCTTCTTCCCAGGCACGTTTCTCACGCTCCCAATGAGGTGTGCCATTGTTCCATAGGTGAAAGTATAGATCATAGGTAGAGGTGATCACTCTACGAAGTCTATACACATGGAATCCGACTTGTTTGGAAAAGACCGAGAACCGAAAATGATTATTGCTCAGAAAAGTCACATGGAAATCCAAAGCACGGCCTCCGAAACAAGATTGTAAAGCCAGAGAAACTGAATCTTCCGTTAAATGAAACAAATGACGCCGAAAGGTGACAAGAAGGAAGAACGAGCCATCTGGGGAGTGGTGAGGATGGTGCACCGGAGATTTGTATAGCCGGCGGACCTCATCTTGGAATTGCAGCCCAAGATCAAAGTCCATCCGGGAGGCCAAATCCGATGCTGAACCCATGGCCTGCCGGAGGGGATCAGGGAATCACCGGTGGGCCTTTTGCCTGGATGTTGTTGCCGCAAAACCTCGAACACCTTGCAAGCAAGATCCGTAAAAGCTTCCTCCAGCCCCGAGGAGACGCCAAGGAGCCAGCTCAGGTCTTCTGGACACTAGCAAATCGGCGGACGCCAAGGCCGGAGAAGGCAGCAGCAATGTCGATGGCCACCTGGGTCGGGGTCAGGTGGCGAGGGGGACCACGGTCCTGGCGGTGCGCGCAGGCGAGGGCCGCGCCAGGACGAGGTACACCTTGACTACAGAGGGGACTCGACGGCGACGGCAGGAGTGGCGGCGGAGTAGGGACTCGACGGCCACAGGGAGCGGCTACTTTGATGGTGACGGGGACGGGTGGATGCGTAAAACATAACTTATTTATGACTTGTAGAGTATTATGTAAATGTCCCAGTCCATGCTCATGTGTTATCTTCTGTCAACCACTTACCACATGTATACATAAATCCATATCTGATGTGTGAAAGACAAGGTCATTAAGTCCTAACATGTTGTACTGAAAATGCAGGTTATTGAAGCATTAGCACAAGCCGGTCTTGAGTCTTCTAATTTAATCATAGGAATTGATTTCACAAAGAGTAATGAATGGACAGGTAGTTTGTCTGCACTTGTGTGCAAAGAAAAAAAACATTTGTTATTGAATCTTGATTCATGACTATCTTTATTTACAGGAAAGAAATCCTTCAATGGCATGAGCCTACACAATATCAGTGACAACCCAAATCCTTATGAACAGGCAATATCCATCATTGGGAAAACCTTATCTGCTTTTGACGAGGATAATTTAATTCCTTGCTTTGGTTTTGGAGATGGTAATGGGCTGCTACTTTTATTAGTATAAGGTGAATTTGTACATGTCTAATAGTTTTCAGTTTGAATAATGCAGCGTCTACTCATGACCAAGATGTATTTGCCTTCTATCCTGACGAAAGACCATGCAATGGTTTTCAAGAAGCTTTAGCTCGATACAGAGAGATTGTACCTCACCTTCGCCTTTCTGGTATGTTCTTGTTAATTTGGAAATATGTAGTGACCAGTTGAATCATGGATATAATTTGAATCTGGGAACAGTTGTGTGTAGTCCCATAGGATCCTCACCACCTTTATTTATAGTAACTAATACCGACTCTCCAACATGTAATTTTTGGCATTTTCAAGGTCCTACATCATTCGCCCCAATAATTGAAATGGCCACAACCATTGTGGAGCAAAGTGGTGGCCAATACCATGTTTTAGTAATTATTGCTGATGGGCAGGTATGCCCTGGTACATTCCTCCTTTTTTACTGATATTTCTGTTTCAGATTATTGATTATTGTGAATGAGGAAAAAATGAAACATATTTGTCTATTATTATGGCTTTTTCTGAAGCTATCATTGTACAGGTCACAAGAAGTGTAGATACTGAATTTGGTCAGTTAAGCACCCAGGAGCAAATGACAGTTGATGCTATTGTACAAGCAAGGTAATAATGAAATAATGATTTATGTTATGTAGCAATGAATATGTACGTGGGTTTTATGTTTCAATAGTGCTTGACAACAGAAGACATGAATTTATAGGGCAGTGCTGCATTTTTTTTTTTGGCCAAATACTAGAATTTTTTTAAGTAGTACAGCAGGGGAAGCCCCCACTGTAAGCTTTTATTTAGAAAAAGAAAAGAAGCTGTAGAAGGCACACAAAGCTGTACAAGCAAACAACAAAAGGCGAAAACTAGAACCCTGAGAGAGGCAAGTAAACTAGGCTAGGGAATCTATACAGAATCAGGACGCTTAGCATCACAGATTCTATGGGCCTGAAGTGGCGCTTCCTCACAAAAGTTGAACTTCCAAGAATCTAAGGAAGGGCAGCCCTTATCAAAGATGAAGTTATTTCTTTGTTTCCAAATCTGGCAAGCAGCAATGTTGAAGATCTCCATAAAGCAAGGATTTGGAAATTGTTGCTTGGCTTGTATCAACATCTAGAAAAAATCACATGCAAAATCCCATTGGATGCCTAGGTGCTACCAACAAGCTCGACTGAAGGTTCAGCTGAAGAACAAGTGAAAAGCAGTTTCTTCCACATTGGTATTGCAGAGTGATGGATAAGTCTCATGTGTGGTCTTTGTGGGGCTGTACTGCTCACATGGTCCTTGTGGCTGTTTTTCTGCTTTTAGGACAGCATCTTAGACTAGAGGACAGCAGGACAGCATCTTAGACTAGAGGACAGCATCTTAGCTAGGACAGGACAGCATATTAGCTAGGACAACATATTAGCATCTTAGACTAGCATCTTGGCATATGCTTGGCTGGCTAGCAGCCTATAAATATGTAACCCCAACCTCTCAGGTTGGCATGGCATTTGAGTAAGAAATAGACAAGAAAATTGCCCCAACTCCTAGTGTCATCCTCTCGATGAGAGTAAGAATTCTCCTACTACCAAGAGTGAGAATTCAGCGACTAACACAGAGAACATAGTTGTAATTGTTTTCTTCCAGCTTATTTTTTTCCCTCCTTAAAATGTTCCTTGTATTTAGCCTATCCATAAGAAGTAACTAGGAGAAGACTCTGAGTTTATTGGAGCACTTAGAATCCCAAATCCAAATAAACAGGGCAGGTGGCTGGGCATTTCTGTATGGGAAGTTGTAGAATTTAGAAGATGTGTAGATATTACTCCCCCAAATAAAGCACCAATAATCTTTTGTGCCATGTTGCACTTGTGTTGTTTGAATATAATCTTGAAGATTTTGATACTCCTGATAGGCTTGTTCAGATAGAGGAAGGTGAAACTGTGACTCAAAATTGTTATTCAGCAAGAATTAAGCTACCGCGCTTAGCAAAACAGAAAAGCCTGGGCTACTTCCACAAAGCCTGGGCTTGATTTGCATGATATTATCATTCCACATATCAGGCTAGAATAATACAGTGGTGCCATTTCCAATGTTGCAGTTAGCAATTCCTCTGAAGAGATCACAACGTTTGAAGATGTCTCTCCATCAAAAAGAGCCTTTGTCACTTGTTGCATGTAGGATTTCACCATTGGAATAATGCGCATGTCAGACAAGTTTCACCCAAGGGATCTTCTTGTCATAGAATTTATCCAAATGCTTAAGCAGAAGGGTTGTGTTTTGACTTCTTAGATTAATGATGCCAAGGCCTCCTTTCCTTTTGGGTTTACAACATTTTTTCTACGCAACCAGAGGCTTCATCTTGGCATTGCTGTCTGACCCTCTCCATAAACAATGCCTTCTAGCTCTATCAATGTACTCAAGAACTGTTACTGGCACATGCAGATTGCATATTGTGTATGTTGGCAAAGAAGAGCAATTCCAGCCTTCCTGCATGTGTTAGAAGATTTGATGTAGCTGTAAGCCTTCTTTCTGTTTTGTTCTGATGAAGCCAAAATGATCAAACCTGGGTTTGGTAGTACCCATCGACAGTTCTAGGTAGGTGAATGGGACAAACTCAAGTTTGCAGCAAAAAACTCATTGGGCTCTCTTAGAGGAAAGATTTGTAGGGACCAAACAAGCTTCTTATAATTAACCCGGAGCCTAGTTGATTGAGAGAATGATTCCAACAATCCCTTCAAGGTGAAGAGCTCCCGTTGAGATGCTTTCATGATTAAGATGGTGTCTGTTATGTGTATGAAGGCTCTTATACTATAGGCTCATATGGCCCATGAGACTATATGTACCCATCTCCACCTATGGAGTGCTTATGCTCTCAGATCCCTAAGGTCGTAACATGGTATCAAAGCCATGGATTAGGGTTAGGATTAGACTAATCTAATTCACCCACGATCCATATAACTACTGTCCGTACTTTGATTGTAGTAGCTGTTGCTTTTTCCTGGACTATCTCTCAGCTGGATGTCAAGAATGCCTTTCTTCATGGTGATGAATGCCTTTCTTCATGGTGATTTGAATAAGGAAGTTTATATGCAACCACCTCCCGGTGTTGATGCTCCACCAAAGATATGTCTATCGTCTTTGTCGTTCCTCATGCTTGGTTTGAGAGGTTTGTCTCTGTGATAAAGGCTCCTGGTTTTTGAGAGAAGATGAACATTTGCCTGGATTCATTGATTGATGACAAGGTTACAGAGTATATATAGAAGATAACTAGAGCTAGTGGAGACCATAATAAAGAGGGTGGCAGCCAGGGGAGGAACCAAGGTGACACCCAACACTAAAGGCAGCCATCCACTGATGGGGTACCTCTTGAGGATCCTTCTCGATTTTGGCATATTGTGGGCAGCCTTGTTTATCTCACTGTCACCAGGCCTCATTGCCCATTCAGTCCATATTTTGAGTCAGTTTGTGTGCCCCCCCAACTTCTGTTCATTTTGGACATTTACTTCGTGTGTTGCGTTACTTACTTACGGGGGGGTATCATCTCAGAGTTTATTCTATGCTCGTGATAGTACACTTCAGCTTCATGCTTACTCGGATTCCACTTGGGCGAGTGACCCAACAGATCGACGTTCCATCACTGGTTAGTGCATTCTTCTTGGCTCTTCTCTTATTGCATGGAAGTCTAAGAAGCAAGCAGCTGTATCTCATTCTAGTACGGAGGCTGAACTTCAAGCCCTTGCTACTACTACTGCAGAGATTGTATGGCTTTGATGGTTGTTGGCTGATTTTGGCATTTCTTGTGATGTTGTCACACCTCTTCTCTCTGATAATACAGGAGCCATACAAATTGCCAATGATCCTATGAAGCATGAACTTACAAAACATATTGGTGTGGATGCCTTCTTTAGTCGGTTACATTGTAATTAGAAAACTATTGCTCTCCAGTATGTGCCTCCAGAGTTGCAATTGGCTGACTTTTTGACTAAAGCACAAACCCGAGAGCAGCATCAGCTTCACTTCATCAAACTCAATGCTTCCAATCCTCCGCTTCCACCTTGAGTTTCAAGGGGAGGGGGTGTTATGTGTTTGAAGGCTCTTATACTATGGGCCCATATGGCACATGAGGCTCTCTATCTATAGCCATCTCCACTATGGAGTGCTTATGCTCTCTTATCCCCAAGGTTCGTAATAGTGTCATCAGCATATTGAACTGTTAGATATGTATATATCTAGGGGTCTAATTGTAAATGTACTGACGGCCTTGTGGCTATATATATGAAAGTCACCCCTCCCTAATGGGTGTGAGGTGTTCTCCCTGTAACTTTCTACATGGTATCGGACGCCTAGGTTTTTTCCTGGCTCCTCTTCCTCTGCTCTAACTCTTCACTGGGCCGCCGCCTCCCCGCGCAGTCGACCCTCGGCCGAGGGTCCATCTCCTCCCACGCTCGACGGCACCCAACCCCTTCTCCTTTGCTCATTCCTTGTGCCGCCGATACTCGACCGCGCACCCCTTGTCTTCCTCTGTGTCGCGTAGACACCTTCTCCTCTTCTCGTCCTCTGCCTTGCACACACATGGTTCCCCTGTTCGCCCACGTCCATCTGGGTTGTTCACTTTGGGAATCAAAGTAATGAAGGAACAATTTATAGTTTCCAGGTCTAGGGAACCATTAAAGAAGTCAAAGCAGAGAGTGTAGAAATCTTCTTTTATAATATCCCAACAACTCTTGATAAAATGGCCATTAAAACCATCTGGGCCTAGAGCTTTATCAGCAGGCATTTGTTTGATAATTGTGTCAATGTCCTCAGTGGTGAAGGATCTTGACAAGTGCTCCAACCCCTCTCTAGGTTTGACCATCTGTTCAAGGTTGTATTGCATCACAGGGTTTGTTTTGTGGCCCATTCTTTGTCTATATTCATCGAAGAGCAATGCGGCTTTCTTCAGGCCTTGTCCCCTTAGAAGTATCCTTTTTCTTGCTTGGTGGGGGAAAGCTAGCAACACCGCTGATGGGTTGAGGAGGCAAGGAATTAACTCTCTCGTTATGCTCGGAGCTTGGACTCTATGGAACCATCGTAATGGGTGTCTTTGATGGAGTAGCTCCAAAATTAGCTGGCGCCCTAATCATAGCTGGCGAGGAGCGCCGTCTGTGGTCTATGGCGGGAGCTCAAGGGCTATCATTCTTGACTGCCCTCCTCCTAGGTGGTTAGAGTTTAGCTCAGCTAGAAGCAGTGGTCTGTTGACTCTTCCAATACCCCTGGCAAGTGATGAAGATTTTCCAATCTTACAATATGCAGATGACACCCTTATTTTCATGAAGAGAGATATTTTATTTTCATGAAGGGAGATATTTATGAGCTAAATGACCTGAAAGAGCTACTCACTTCTTTTGCTCAATCTGCTGGTCTGAGGGTAAACTTTGATAAATCCATCATGATCCTCATCAATGTGCCAGATGACAGATTGGATGTTTTAGCTAGCACACTTGGTTGCTCAAAAGGCAGCCTGCCCTTTACCTAACTAAGCCTTCCCTTAAGTCTAACCAAGCCTACAATTGCTGATCTTTGGCCTCTATTCTGCAAATGTTAAAGAAGGCTTGTGGCTTTCTCTTTTTTGAGTAAGGCAGGAGGAGCTTACCAATGCTG